CCCCAAAACCCCAAAACCCCAAAACCCCAAAACCCCAAAACCCCGATAGATTCCAATTATATATCAATGTAGAAATTATTTAATAGTAATAAAGATAGCTTTGTTTAGTTGTCAAGACAGTTATATTTATAATTCACTAATTTAAGAGATTTTTCTTGAGGTTAAACGATATATCAGATGGTTTTAAAACTATCCTATCAGCTTTGATGGGACCATTTCCCATATTGAATGCGGTTCTTATACCTTTCTTCTAACCAAGATTTAATGACGCTAATACACTATTGGTCCCAGTTATTGATGTTAATTGCTTTTAATCTTATCCCTTAGCCTCCTCTTAATTCGATGATTATGAGTGACTAGTTTAATTTCTCTTTAATATTTAATCTATCTTTTTGGTACTGCTTTTTAAAGATTATTAATTTTGTGAAAACTTATCTCTTATCTCCTAAAGTAAATTTATTAAATATCAAAGCTTACATCTCGACTTACTTGCTTGAAATCTTGGTGAAATTCATTTATCAAGCTATAAATATCTTTAGGTATGCTATCTCCTGAAGTTGTGTGTACTCCAAGGAAGGGCAATCTTTTTTTATTTTGCGTTCCTCTTAGAAGTGACAAGGGATTGCCAGTTATAACTTAATCATTATTTGAAATCAGTTCAGAAACTGCATTTGAGTCATCAATCTGACTATTTTGAGGAAACTATAGAGATCCAAATGAATCCTGAGTAGATTATGCTGTACTTCGAGTGGTTTTAAAGAATGAATTATTTTAAGCTGGCTTAAATGGATAGATACCTGATACATTATTAGAACTTGCTCCTCTTTTTCTATCTAAATTAGTACTGTCATTGCCAAAGCCTTCAGATACAGTTCGCCTGAATTATTCTCCCATTACACTCTTTAATGCACTGCTACTCATTGGTCGTTTATTTGGAGTTGGTGGCTGATTTTCAAAGTTTTCCCAATCTTCTGAAAAATTTTGCTATGCTTTTTTCTCAAGAGAGTAAGTCTTAATTGCCTTGATTAATAGCTCCTCCTCATTAGGCTCTTTCTCAAAGCATGTAACTGCTTCTTCACTCCACTTTTTCATAAGTTCTAGATCTGCTCCTAATCTGATAAATGCTTGAATAAAACTTAATCTTTCAAGCTCCTAATCAGTTAATTTTTATGATGGGAGGAATGTAGTTTTTAATAGATTAAATTTCTTAGTTTCTTCTGTCTTTCTTTCGAAAAATCCGGTCTCTACAATTTCATCGTCTAGACTTTCAAGTCTTGGAACACATTCTTAGATTCTTTGATAGTAAGCTACTTCCTCGGTTACTGGGTTATATTTTAAATTAAGTTCTTACAAATAAGGAGTTCTTTTGAGATAATATATCTAGTCTAGGCCTTTTATATTGTTTCCTTCCATATCCAAAACATTCAAATGCTCAAGGAAGCCAATGTCAAACAGCTCTTCAATAAAGTTGTATGAAATGTAGAGTTCTTCCAAATGTTCAAAGGCTAGAATTCCTTACACCTCCTTTAATTCACATCTAGCAATCATAAGGATCCTAACGAACTTGAAGCTCGTACCTAAGTCTCTAAAGCATCTAATAATTGAATCATTCATTTTCAGATACTCAATACTGCTGAGTATTTCACCTGTTGCCTGAAGATTATGACATGTAGTGTCAACTCTTAATTCTATTTTGGTAAGTCTAGCAAGTTCCTCAGGTCTTACATCAAGATGCTAGGACAAAAATTTTTCATTTAATTCAAGGTCATTCTCTATTTCTTCTTAATCCATTATTTCAAAGAATTTTTCTTCAAAGCCAGAGAATAAACCGCCAGTAGCGGCATTTTTTCCAGCTTTTATAACTAGAGCTTCATCATCTTCATCACTATAATTATTATCTGTTTCTGTATATTGCCTCTTAGGAGATTCAACGCTTAGATCATCACGAGCCTCCATCTATTCAAGAAAATCTTCAGCTTTCATAACTTTGATTTGCTTCTTTTTGGGGATATGTTTATTGATCAACTCCATATCGATGGGTTAAAGCTATTCATGAGCCCTTCTTTCTAATGGCTAAGGTATTCTTTAATCTCTCCCTACCTTATTAGGTCTATTTTTTAGCAAATTCAGTCTCGGAGTTTAGGGCCTTATACGAAATGCTGTGCCCTTAGCATCACTTTCTTTCGGTATATTACTTCTTGGTATTGATGAATATTGCAGTCTTTCCTATTCAATTTTCTCCTAATGTTCACGCTTAATTCTCAAAGTTTCAGCCAAACTTTTCTGGAACTAATTTTTGTTCTCAGGCTTATTCATTTTCATCAAAAACTGAAGATCCTTATCCTTTGCAGCAGTTCCCTCTTTTTGCAAATTTAGGTTTTTCAATACTGGGTTTTTATTGTAACTCGTACTTCTGTAGAATTGATGAGTCAATGAAGTAGAGGTTGTTTATTGTTATTGCTAATTACTCATATCATTGATTGAAAAGGAGGATAGAGTACCATTTGGATCTTTCCCTTCAAAGCCATCGGACATTGATGCTAAAAATTATGAAGAGGGAGAAGCAAGTCGATCCTTAATAGAAGATTAGCTAGTATCATTTCTCAACTTGAAAGTCTCACTTTGTAATTTTTTCAAACGAGCATTCATATTTAGAGTTCAAATATATAAAAGATTATTAATTAATTTCTATAATAAAGAAGTTAAGTTAATGTGATAACTCAAATCTACACGTAAATTTAATAAAATTAAGAACTTCATCAGTTCCTTTACATATACAAGCAATCATATATCTTTATCTTTCCTATTTTCATCTTATTTTCATTCACTCAAGGTTTAATCTGATGCCACGCTTTTTGATTCTTCAAAAGTAGGTTCAAAACTGCTCTTGACTCCCTTAAGAGCTTCCAATAATCTGTAATTCTTAATTTGACAATCAGCCAAGCTATTAAGTGAATCAAATACTCCAAAAGAAACATGAACTTCTTCATTATTCTAGATAGTATCTCTCAGGCAAGAAATGATTGATCTGATCTTGATCAATTTGTTCTCAAGGTTTGAGTTATCTTTAAATAGTTACTCTGTCTCAGCTCTAATTAATTCTTCATCGTACATTCCACTATATTGTGGGATTTTTAGCTCTTTTCTGAGATAATCTATAAGAATCTAAAGTAAAGCCAATGAATTTAGATTGATGAATTCACAAAGTGCTTACTCATAAGCCTTACTCTCATCACTTCTCTATTAAGATGGTATAATATTTGCTAACAATTCCCATAGAATTAAGATGTTTTATTCTAAATTATTGACGTACTTCTAATCGTTAGGATTTGGTATTATTGTGCTGATTTGCTCAAGTGAATTAAGCATAGTCTCCCAGAATTTGATAGCTACAATTTTATCACTTAAAGCCCTAAAATCAACAAACTTTATCAGAGTTTAAGCAGCGTGAATCTTTGTCTTAAAATTTGGTCTTGTTGTTAATGCATTTAATAGAGGGAAAATACTTTATCTTGAAAAAATTATTCTAGAATTAAGAACATTCTTATTTTCCAATAGATTAGACAGAGCTACACAAGAATTCCAAGAAATTTTTGGGCTTTTATTGTCTAAATTATCTATTATTACTCTTAGTATCATTTCGAGATCAAGATTTTGATTCTTTATTTTAATGATAGTAGTATTACTGATTCTATTCAAGAGTATCTATGATTTGTTTAGTGATGGTAAAACCTCATTAACCAGTTTTTAAGTATCTATGTTCATTAAGAAATATCCGAGTGCTCTAATTCCATTAGAACTTACTTTTTCTTTATTGGAGCTAGCATAATTTATTGAGCAAATCAACACTTCTCTTATCAAATATTCATCAGTCATATGCTTATTTAAGCAGCAAACATTTGCAAGGGCCCATGAATTTCTAATCTAAATATTTTAATTTGTATCATTGGAATTTTCAAATATCAACTAGTATACTTTGTTTTTGAACTCTTCATCCTTGAAGAAATTGTCAAAGTATACCATGAATCCTAATAATTTGATAGATGCTGCTCTTAAGAGAGGTGGCTACTTTGTATGTTCAACATAGTATATAATATCCTTAGTATATTTTTCATCGAATACAGTCATCCACTATGATTGATCAAAGTTACATAAAAGACTAAGTATTGAAATGTTCACATCTGAATAAGTGTTTTACTTGTTAAAAAGAAATTCATCTACGATTTGTCTGATTAAGTTAATCAAGCTTTAAATCTAATAAGGGGAGTCTTGGTTAATTGGCTAGTTTCTGACTGTCTCATCATCATCTTCCAAGTTTTGATCTTTGAAATTTTTCAACCATTCCTCCAAGATGTTAATACTGTTTGTAATCTTTTTCCTATCATAGCTTTTTAAATAGAATTTTAGAAACTAAAGTAGATTGCTTTAAAATACTTTAGTTATTTTATCTGGAAAATTCTTTGCTGTCTTTGTAATAAAGGAAAAAATTTCATTTTGATCTTTAGGCCCATAATACTGCTAGTGCCCATCTTGTTTATTCTCAATCTAAATTAGTTATTTCAAGAGATTATTATCCTTTAGAAAATTTTCAGATATCTCCCCTCTAAGATCCTAATGATTAAAAGCAATTATCAAGCTGCTTAGGACTTACTGCTTTAATAGCTAATCATTATCATTGAAATTTGATTTTGCACACATTCCATATATTTTTATAAAGGATTCAACAAGGATAGAACTAAGATTCTTATTCATCTTTGAGTAGGGAGTATATTGAATAATTGTGCCAGCAGTTTTGATATAGCATTATGTCATTTTTGTATCTTTTTCACTTTCAATCATATATAGTATTGAATAGTGTAAATATCTAAGAAACTAACCTAAATAGTTCGATATAGATACAAATGATACCTGCGATAACTGCTAGTTGTATAAATCTTCTGATTCTAGCTAGTCTTGCCACTTTTGAATGATTGAATTTTCTATTAGTATATTGATGATAAATGCTATAGTCTATTTCAACTTTTATGAATTATCTTTTTATCTTAATAGGTAGAATAGACTTGGCTCCCTTTGAATATTTTGATTAAACTTTGTGTTAAAGTCCTATTAGTTAGATTTGAATGATAACAAAGAGTGGGAAAATTCCGTTTAAGATCTCAAAAAGAAAGATGGGAATAAGAGATACCAATAGTTGAATAGCTATTTGTTTTTGAACTTCAAAAGTATCTGAAGTGAAAGGGATGCATGGTTTTTTATCTTTTAATATGGATCAGATGATGTAATTGAATCATTGCTAGACGGAGACTACTTTCCCTTAGATTTAGTAGAAATACCATCTCCTAATCCACCATCACTACTTGACATCTCGCTTGTATCAATAATAAAACTACCACTATCTCCCTTTAGCTCTTCTTCATCCCACTCCTATTAGGTGATCTATTGTTGTTCTCCCTTTTTTTTAGCTTTTTACTTTGTCTCTTCAAGCTTAATATTTAGCATTTTCTCTGCAAAAGGTGTTCCTAAGTATAGTAGCTTGTAGAAGTTAATATACAACTTGATAGTCTCTGTGTCATTTAATTAAACCATCTTTGTGTTGTCTGATAAAGACAGTTATAGTGCTCTTAAGACTGTGGTAAGGAAAGATATAAATCTCTTAGATTTAAAATTCTGGTTAATCTTCCTCATCAATTGGTCGAATAAGGATTTTAACTTCATGAATATAGTTTCTTAGTTGTCCTTATAGAACTATGATGGAAGAATCAACATATTTGCTAGGCAATTAATTGCAACCCTCTGGTTTTTATTGCTCTATGAATTTGATGAGCCACTTCCTCCCGAGTTCTAAAGCTGTTGTTACTGCAATTGCTTATCCTGATCAAAGGTTTACTGAGCAAAACATAACTTCTATATAGCATTGTAAATTTTTGTCATCGTCGGGTTTTCAATTTGATTCTATTCATATAGAATGTGGCCTATCAACTTTATACAAGAGTCTTTATTTTAGTATGTAGTATTTGTTTGCATAGAATTTATTAGAGTGTTTATAAGCTTAGTAGTCTCTTAATAGGGGAGTTCTCTGAAGTATTCCTTAGTTTTAACTTATGATAGTAAGAATTCAATAATATCAAAATTAGAACAACCTCTCGTATCATTTAATTTGACAGACTCAACCATAAACTCACAAATGCTATGCTAAGTAATATCAAAATTTGATAAGATAGCTTTGAGATTAGAATTGAACTTTTCAGTGGGAATTTCACTATGATTCTTAAAAACTGAGAATGGATTCCTGTCTTTCATTTTAGGTATATGTTTGTGCTATTGTTGCTCCTACTGTTGATTATTATGATAGCCTTGATTTGAGCTTTGGCTATTGCCAATTGGATTTTGTGGTTTTTTAGTTGATTTGGTAAATTTAGTTCCTAGAGCCCAAGGGTTTGAATCTGTTTCGTCAGAGCCTTTTCTCATTTTAAAATTAATATTTTTACCAGAACCAAACAATTTAATAACTTTATCTACTTATTTTCGGCAATATTGATTTGTGGGGTTTTGGGGTTTTGGGGTTTTGGGG